AAAAAAAAAAAAAAAAAAAGTTGACAGAAAGTAGACTCGTGGAGGCCGGGGTCAGAGGGAGGGAGACTGGGTATGGGCCTGCTTTTTAGAATGATGCAAAGGTTCTGCAGTGAGAGGGTGGTGATGGTCACGCAACGTCGTAAACACACTAAGAATCACTGAACTGTACACTATACGAGGGTGAATTTTGTATACATTACATCTCAATAAAGATATATAAAAAATATATAAATTATGGTCAGCAAATTCTGGTAAGGTTGCAATAAGATTGTAGACTCAGGTTGCTGGTGGCAATTCAAGTTGGCATAGTGATGTCTGACAGTACTGTGTCAACAGCAATACGTAAACAGTAGACAGGTTCCCATAAGGGGTATGAATTATTTTGCATCTGTCACCAAGAAATTTTCTTTTCTCTCTCTCTCTCTCTTTTTTTTTTTTTTTTTAAGAGACAGGCTGGACACTGAGGCTGCAGTGCAGTAGCAAACTCCTGGGGTCAAGGGATCCTACCACCTCCGCCTCCAGAGTACAAGGGATTACAGGCAGGGGCCACCACACCTGGCCACCATAGACATTGAGCTGACACTTTTGTACTGTGCTCATGCCCACAGTAATGCCTGCTGCCCTCTGAGCCCATTCCTGAGAAACAAGCTTGGCTCCAAGTCTGGGCACAGCATGTCGCCTCAGGCAGGTTTTCCCAGGTCTCAGAGGCAGCCTGCTTGGGTCTCCCTTGTTGTGGCACATATAACTCCAGGTAGACAGTGTGGGGGACAGGGCTGCCCACCAGAGTCTAGGCACTGGCCTGGCCACTTCCACAGGCTTTGTCCTGAGTGTCAAGATTGTATGAGCCTCCTATATAGCAAATGGCCCTCCATAAGTCAGGAAAATAGCTGTGGATATGGAGATGGAGTTGTTCACTGCACTAATGTATCAGTGGTAAAAATTAGAAGCTGCAGGCTCGGCGCCTGTGGCTCAAGCAGCTAAGGCGCCAGCCACATACACCTAAGGTGGTGGGTTTGAATCCAGCCCGGGCCTGCCAAGCAACAATGACAGCTGCAACCAAAAAATGGCCAGGCGTTAAATGGCGGGCGCCTGTGGTCCCAGCTACTTGGGAGGC